GTAATCAAATGACCTTTGGTGATAATCTGACAGTGTTATACAATAAACTCTGCAGTTCATATCTGTGGAAAATACTTGAATGTACTTGCTGCTGTATTTCTGAAGGCATTAACCTTTAGCAGTTATCAACGTATCTTATTTCATTCCTTTTCTTACCAGATATTTAGGTTTAGCTTGCAATTTAAGAAGGACCTTAAGTCAAAGATTCTGATTTTACACCCAGAAATACTATAGCCATTACGTGGAAGGCTAATTCAGGTTCAGAGCCTGCGGCTGTGATATGACTTTCTGATAAGTATGTATTTGACATAGTTAGGCTGTTCTTATGATCTGCTGCCACTGATGTTTCTCATTTTAACTTTCAAAGATAATGGTTAACAATAAACCTGAAATCACTACCTGACTGTCGGCAGAAAGTGATGATCAATTATTCATTATCACGAGTTACCAGAGTTCAAAGTGACGTCTTTAAAATGTCCTTATTTGTCTGACAAACATTCCAAACCTTAAATATATTCAGTTTACAAATATATAAAACAGAGAAAAGCAGCAAATACAAATAGTCACAATTAAGAATCTATAGCAAGCAAATGTTTGGCATTTGTGGTTAATAATGAATTGAATGTCAAAACTGCCTTTAATTTTCTCAGCGCACATCAAATATAACTGTAATACAATTTAGGTTGCAATAATATATTTTTTATTTAAAGATTGAACTTATGCTTATGAAATGATTTGATATAACTGGTTGCAGCTACATCATACAAACAGCTCCACCAGAGAGACACTTACCTTTGCCTTTTCTCCTGTAGATCCTTTCAGAGTAGTGACAGTGAACTGTGTTTATTTTCTGGCTGCGAGTTCTGTCAGTGAAATCCAGGCGGGCCGTGTGGTGGGCCAGCCAGAGGGGCTCCAGATCCAAACCCTGCCAGACTCTTTGTGTTTGTTCAGAGAAATATCTCATTACTGAGCTTTATGGGAAAGCAATAGCTAACATGCTAAGAGTGTCAAGGGTGGCATTTTTAGTTAGAATAATATTATATTTTTGCTGAATTTGTCTGAAATTAAAACCTCAATGTAGCCTGGGGTCTTACCCACATTTTCATAATTTATTTCCCCCCCAAGTCCAGTAAAATAACATGTACCATTGCATTAAGTTTGTTGACACATTAGCATAAGTCTTTCAATCATCAGATGGCTGCTGGCATTGGTTTGCTGCCTATCTATTGTTGCAGTGTAAATGTGTATTTTGTTATTTTAACATTACATAGATGATTATGTGGGCTGCTTTGATGGATTTAGGTCACCATGGTAACATAGCAACTGCTCCATCTTTACTGCATGTATTAATGTCAATCGGTTGATTAAGTGGGTTAAGACCTCTTTCAGAGTCGATGTATCTCTGAGCTGTCTATATGTGATGTGTTGCTGTATTTAGTCACACAACAATAGCTGTGAGTATCAAAAAAGCTTTACTAATTATCTGGTCATCACCAATAATCAGTTCTAAGGTCTTTGGCGGATTATTGATTTTTTGACAAAAACTATTGGAAATGATTACAGGGAGGGATATTTAGTTTCAATTGTAATTCCTTTTGTGGCTGATGTATCACAGATTTGTATGAATATTCAACACTAAATCACTTTGAAAACCAAGAGCATGTTCGCATTTTGGATCAAGCAACATTACGAAGAGTACAATTAAACTCGAGCAACATTATCTAAACAGAGTGCCACTTACAATGCAATTTATACCCTAGTAGTCCAGTGCTCCTGTTCCCCAAAACTCCTGTCCATGGAGTCCTGTTGGCAAGGGGTGGATTGTCAGAGATGGGGACATTCAACCAGTGCTATTTACAAACCCCCAGCACCTACAGAAGTGAGAGACATTCCTCACTTGTATTGCAAAGATGCAAAGTGTGGAGAGAGTGGAAAGTGCCAGTGCCTCTCTGTTGGCCTTCCCTGTACGGAGCTCTGCACCTGCTGTGCAGAATGTCAAAATGTTTCCCCTAACGTTTCTGAGGAACCTGACATTTAACATTATATTCTAGTATCTATATACTTGACCTCTCACTGAATGATTTAATGAATTGTATACTGTACTTTGAATTAAGGTTCCAGTTTCAATAAAAACTGTACTATTTACACCTATGTTTTAGAGGCTTGCAATTTAGAACTAATACACTTTATTTTATTGGGTTACTCTTATTCTGACTATTTGGTGATGTAGTTCAACCACCTGGTATTTCCCTCTCCAAATATGATGACCATCAGAGTGAGCATTCTTAACTTATAGGCTATTATGCCACTTATCCCCCATTCGGAATGAGACTGTATCAGAGAAGAGGTAGGCCTATGTCTAAAGAAATCTAATTTACAATAGAACTGTACCAGATATTTCCATACAACTACTGGTTAGTGTTCAATAGCATCCTAAACAATTCAGAAATGGTATATGTTTTAGGGATTTCTGTTTTTCTGATAAATGAGAGAAAAGTGATTGAGTCCTATGTTCCTATCACCAAAAGTACCATTTCAGTCTAAACTAAAGCTAAGTTTACAGGACTATAATTCAGTATTTGCATGGTTAAATAATTGTCAGACTATTTAGTGATGTAGGACAGCCACCTGGTTCATACCTCAGCAAATCTGAAGAGGAAAAGAGTTGTCATTCTCAAGTTATGGGCTCTTTTGTCACCTTTCCCACATTCGGCCTGGTCTAATTTGGCTCTTTTTCAGGGATTGGGGTAGTTCTAAAGAACAACCCAAAAAACATTTTTTCCCCCAAAATAAAATTTGACAACAATCAATTTCATTAATGGGAGACCCTAAAGATAAGAAAAATCATTGTTGTCATTTGTTCTACCTCGGGTAGGGGTATCTCAAAAACTAAAGCCTTTTTTGAAGACTTGCTGCTGGACTATAGGTGTTTTACAACAATTAACACTCTTTATACNGCCAGAGGTCGCTGTATACCTAAAACCGCCAACGGGTAAAATGTACCCGCTCACTGTTCTTGATGATAAATAAAATAACATTGTACCTTGCAAATCAATAGCGGGTACATTTTACCCGTTGGCGGTTTTAGGTATACAGCGACCTCTGGCGGTTCTAGTGTTAACCTCCGGATAGCAATGAATATCTGAGGTGCTTTGACAAAAAATACATTAAAAAAATTCATCTGTGGAAGCCGTAATACTGTAAAAACTACAACCGGCTAAACGGATTGGATTGCCGCCCTGTCTGTCAGCCTTCCATCTCGTGCACGCACAAATGTATCTCGTGCCCTCATTGGGCGTGCCGTCATTGGGCGTGCGTTGCAGCAGTACTTCAATGACTCGCCAGCAACAGGCGGCCACTTTCACCATGGCAGAGTTAGGTTCAACATCGTCTACTGGTCGCAAAAGAAAAAATGTAACGGAGCAAATTAAGAACAAAAAGAAAGTGGAAACTAGGAGAAGTCAAACCAGAGTCAATATCGGAGTTGCTTTGGCTGTGTAGTATTGCTAACCTAGATGTGTTTAGCTTTGCCTGATATGTAACGTTACTGCAAGCCTGCTCTCGCGGAGGAGGTGCTCTGTAAGGAAGTCTGAAGGAAGGGGCGGATTCTTTTTGGCTGTGTACTTTCAAATTTTAGTGCACTCGAGCCGGTTTCTGAAACTTACCTACCCCAGCTTTAAGCATAAATGTGGAAATAAAAAACCTGCAAGTTGCTCTTTAATGCTCAACCTGGGAGGAAAGATAAATAAAATGTTGTATAAAAGTCTCAGAGCGTCTTTCAGAGAAAATCTGTTCACAGCCCAGCCCCATGACTCTAGACTTTCCATAACAGCAACCGGCACTCAGGGATGATTGGAAACAACAGCAGATCGCATCAAGTTTGTATTCACTGAATTTGGACAGTTGCATAGGGAATCAGCATCTAACGGAATTTAAATCTATGTTTGTTTGCTTGAGTCGGCTGAAAGTGCCAAATAGGCAGAGGATCAGCACGTAGGTTAAGTGCTACAGCAAAACGAGATTTGACAGCACAGCAGAAAGGCCCAGAGGAAGTCTTTTACATAACGAAAATGTGCCACATTTTGTGCAGCTGAATGCAGAGAGAGCAGAAAGGTAGGTGACGTTAAACTGTGAGAGAGATGCATGTTGCTCTACCCTGAAAAACACAACTGGCACGACTGCGATAAGAGCTGACGAGCTCTCGCTAACGTCCTGGCCGGCACATCTGAGCCGAGGTTGACGTCTGCTCCTTGAACAACATAAAGCGGAGATGACGCTGCTGGCTCTTAGCAAGCCGTCCCCCAGCAGTCTAAGCAACACGACAAGCAGGCACATAAAGCTGCTTATGTCCTTTCCAGTACACGAGAATCAGCATAGCAGAGATCACAAAATCATCGTTTACGCAATGAGGAATTAAGAAAAACACGAGCCGAGGGAAGATGAGAGGAATATTGAGCTGCACTAAGATGTTTATATAAAGAAACAACTCACATTCTGAAATGTAATCACAAAATGGAGTTGGGCGGCCTTCTGCGAGATCTATCCATTTATTTTCTTGCTTAACCATTTGTTAATTATGTTGTTTTTACCCCAAATTACAGAGCCTCAAACAGATACAGATATGGGGGCACAGTGTCTGTTTTTTCTACGCATGAACTGTATTATATTTTCCCCTTATGTAAACCAAAAAGTTGCTTCCTCTAAAAAGCATAATTAAATGTTCATGTGTTACCATCCAGGTTGGTAAACATCAGCATAACGTGCCATCAAACCATGAAATGGTTTTATAAATCCAAAACAAAATGTTACATATTTCGGTACTATAACTATCAATTATCCTAGCTGGTCCACTGTTTTAGAATAACATGTCAAACATTCACAGCAATGTTACTCCACAAACACTTTGCCATACATACTAAGTTGTCCTTAAGGGGAATCGTTTTTAAGTTTAGGGAAATGTGTGCTTTCTTACCAAGAGTTAGATAACATATAATAACCACCTGCCCTTTATATAGACCACCCTCGGAAGCCAGCCTCTTCGACTTAGGACCAGAGATGCGGGCATGGCTACACGACACCGAGTTGGACCTCTGGCGTTCCACGAAAGAAGAAGAACATATCAGCATGCTAAGTAAGGAGTTTGAGTCGGATGTTATGAGCTTAGCTTAGCTTAAAGACGGGAAGCAGGAACAAAGGTTGCCTCGCACTCCCTGAAGGTCAAAAATACACCTACCAACACCTCACAAAATGTGTTTAATCTGTAAACAAAGAGAACAAAACAGTTTGTAGTTTCAGACCCACATGTTTACATTGCGGTTCAGGTTGAAACAAACCAAATACAATGTGTTCATTATTAGAGCATGACATGGATCATCTGATTTAACATAACATAATCATACTCCCTGAAACTGTTCTTCTAAGATAAACTCAAATCAAGGCTAAGAGACCCTTATTTGCTGCTAAAAAACAAAAGGATGCTTTCATGGGTTGCTGAAACGTAGGTTTTTACACTAACCAGAACAACCTCTATCTTTACATCACTGAAGTTCCTACTGTATATCCCAACTCAGTGACACGTGAAGACGCTCTTTTAATTGAGCATCCTTTTGGGACAGGTTTCCTTGAACAGGCAGAGAGGAGCTTCTCCGAATGGAGACATGAATGCTTACATGTCATGACGAGAATAGAGAATCGAAGCTTTCATCCTACCTCTACTCTCCGAGGCAAAAACAGCATGAAGGGAAGTGTAGTTGCTGTGTGCATGCTGCTGCTTTTAGCAGCGCCACAAATGAGTGAACAAATGTTTTCAAAAGATAACCAGATAGGTAGGTGCGTGCACACAAACACACACACACTCCAACACTAAAGCCTTAGAACAAAAACATCCGACACCATCATAAGCTTCAACCTATTGATTTCATTAACGTCATATTTTATTCAGAAGGAAGAGGGAACATATTGGTATGAAGTTAACATGTGTATTGTCAAAGTTGAATGNTTGATATTTTAGGGCTGTTGACAGTATTTTCTGATTTATGGAGTGATAAAAAGAGATATCCAAAATCCCTTCTGTAAAAGCCTTAGATACTAATATGACTACAAAATGAAACAAGAATTTTGAACCTGGCTTTATCCAAAGTTCAGATTTCGATTCCTGAAATGTGTTAAAATATGCACATATTTGATGAGATAATGGCTAATTTGCATATTTAAACATGCTATTTCAGAAAACTTGTAATACAAAAGACAATTGCCTTATTGTAAGTAATTAACTGGAGACATTTCTAGCTGATACCTTTAAGTTAAAAAAATTACCCTATTCACCTGGGGTGTCTCGCCTTTGGCTTATAAGGTCACATATAATACTTTATTTTTGTTACTTAAAGGATTATAGTCTTATATTTCCCATATTTGTCAACATTAGCATTTTTTTTAATGCATTAATGTAGAAGTTATTCTTAGTGGTTATTGGGTGCTTTAAGATAAGTTTTGACATTCCTGAGGTACAGGTCGTTATAACAAATTACAAGCTTGTTATAAGTCAGGCTTACTGTTGTCTCCTAATAATTACATTTGAAAGGCTTACCATTAATTAATTAAAGAAAGGTCTTAATTGAAGTTAAAATATTAAAACTTGTAAGGCATAAGAAGTTAGATTTTATGAATCCCTTTACTCAGACCTTGTGAAATCTAAAAATAACTGGCAACATATAACCAACTATGCATCGTATGTTAATGCCAAGCAGCTCAGGATAGCAAAGAAATGTGCATTCAAATTTTTGTATATTTTATTTTGGGTGGCATTTGTGAAAAAGGACTTAAGGAGTCCTGTAGAGTAACCTTATTTGCTTTAAGTAAAAGTGAAAAAAAATCATTAAATACATCTAAAAAATGTTTAAAGTTATTAAGTATTTTAGTTCTTGGCCTCATAAGTCCGTATTAAGTGCTTTAAAATGTGTTGTATAATCTATAATTACAATGGAATGCGTAAAAAGGCATTATGTATATGTATGAGGGCTGTATGAGTAGCTACATATACATATAGCACTATAAACAGATTCCAACACACAATTAGTGTATTTATAGGCCATAATACGCATGCGATTAAAAGAAAGTGTTGCTGAACGTTTGATTAAAGTCATTTAACGGCCTGTGTAGACGGAAGTCCTTCCATAATGTCCACTTGATGCAAACGGCTTGTTGTGTTTGACAGCAGCAGCAGCAGCAGTGAAAGTGCAGCAGGCGTTAGCGTTACACAGGGAACATGTTAATGATATTCTCAGCAGCTTAATCTGCCTATTGCCACTGCCCCGTAAACAAATAGAGCGTCCGCATGTTGATCCGCGGGGGGAGAAACTGGAATCCATCACCAGAACAAGTGAATGGATGAAGGTGTAGCAACAGCTGCTTGACTGATCACACACCACACACACCGTCACCCCACATCTGTTTACCACTCCGACTCAGCCACACGAGTGTTTATATCCACGGCAGTAATTGAGCTATTTTCCAGAGGGCAGCTGTGACCCACACCAAGTTATATCCCAACTTTCCATTAAAGCGTGGGGGGAAGTTTTTACCGATAGTAATCACGCCCAGCAACACTGCTATGTAAATACGGCTTATCAGCGTTGCCAATTTGGTTAAGTGACATGTACGTGGGTGATTCACACACTCAGCTCCGTGGCTGTGACACAGGTTACGTACAGTAGTCGTTTATAACGTAGGTAACTAAGTATGCATGAAGGCAGGACATAATCAGAAAAAATTATGGCGTGTCAAACCAATATTATCTCTAAAAAAAAAAAAAAAAGATTCAAATATGCTAACAGTCTTCAATTTGCCACGTGGGCAACTTAACTGTTCGTGTTCGTGTGCATATGGAAATCGCAATGGGGATATCTAGATCTCAAACACACCATTTAAATATTCAAATGTTAACACCAAACAATATAATGCATTATGGGTTTTAGTATTTGCGTACAACTCGTTTGCTGTTTGCTGCTGGGCTGATACGAGGGAGAGGGATGGAGAGGGGAAGATGTGGAGCGCACAAACAAAGCCTTTGTCTGCCGCTCATAGGAAAATAACATCTGATATCTGTATTCACTTTTTACGTCCACTCTTTAAAACACAAACCATGTCACTTTGTCCATACATATTAGATTAAACTGATCTTCTTATCCATTAATATAACCGACTACCTGTCCTGTTATGAGGGAAAAAAGAGCAGCAGAAAGAACAGGAGTGGGAGATATTGACATTACACATTATTTCATATTATGTTTTATTAATAGTAGCTGCAGGCGACAAGGAGAATAAATCTGTTAATAGACCGTCCGATATCTGCCTAGGAATTGAACAGCCTTTGTTTTTGACATTGACAAAACAATAACGTCCATCCCCAATTTTCTTTAATTTTAGGAAAGAGGTTCAGATTTAATTTTCCTAGTTGCCAACTATTGGAAACAAATTCAAACTAACGGTTAAGCAGCTCAGAAGGTTGACAAAGTTTTTGCAACTTTTGTTGATTTAGGAGAATACACCAACTGTTTTCACATGTAGTGTTTTATTCGTGGAATCAACTATTTTACACAACAATCAAAGTCAAGGTAAAGCAGCTCACAATGTGGCGATGTAATGAACTTGTTTTGACACAGTAGAGCAAAGTAACATGGCTTTCTTAATCAACATATTCAAATGAGGGATAAACTGGACAAAAAAGATTGAATATTGGACACTGGAGACAAACAACACATCACACTTAGTGGTGGAATCAGAAACAATTGAGCAGCAGGTAGCAAACTAGTCTATAGAAACAAGGTGCTCCAGGATACGTAGGTAAAGATCTTATCCTAAACAACAACATTCGAAAACGTATATGGAATATAATTAAATTGATTGGTGAATCAGAATAAAAGGGATATGGTGTTATCCAGGGATTATACAATTTACATGTAGACCCATTAAAGGTGGGGTAGGTAAGTTTCAGAAACCGGCTCGAGATACACTTTTTGTTATATTCCATGGGATGCCTTAACATCCCGATTAGCAATGAATATCTAAGTGCTTTGAGCAAAAATCCATTAAAAAAGATGTCAACTACAAACCAATCAGATTTAGCCG